ATTCTCAGACACAACTCTTGCAGAACTCAATTTGTAATTGTATTTCTTTTGCCCTTGTGTTAGTGCACCTTTGTGAGCGAATGGTTTCATTAGCCAGTTCAAAAGTGGGTGGGCAGAGTCACCAAGAATAACAATTGGTACATCTGTGTCTCCAATTTTATCTGTCCAGTTTGGAAATAGGGTACCATTTTTCCCTCTGTTAAATAGTGAAGATTGTGAGAAGACTCTCGCATCATGGACGCTACCTGGCCATCCAGTGTAGACATCTATGAAGCAATAGCGATGATCAACTAAACCCTGTAATACAATAGAGTAGAACCCTTTTCTATTATAATAATCAGTGTGATGCTCTACTGGAGCAGATATTGGAATGTGAGAATCATCTAAAGCACCACCACAAGAAGGAAAACCAAATTTTTCCTTAAAACTTGTGATCACATTCCTCAATTCATTGCCATGAGGTATTTTAACGTAGTGTTTAGTTAAGTGTTCAACTATGGCTCTACATACTTCTCAAACTATCATACAAACTGATGCCTTTGAGATGCCAAACAAATGACTAAGAGTTCTGTAGTCAGTTGATGTTGCTAAAAACAACAATGTTACAGCTACTCTCAGCTCAACACTAATAGGGTAACGTAATCTTGTTGTTTCTTTTTCAATATGAGGCCTTAACTTTTCACACAAATGTGACCCGATAAGAGAAAACCAGGCTATCTGCGGGAATTATCATTTTGAGCTATGGGCTCATAATCACGGAGAATCTTTACCTGGGCGAAATTCATTTTATCACATAAACATGTTATATAAACAAAATCCTTTCATTTGATACCAAAATCAGGGGTAGCGAAGCCTTCTTTGCCGAGTTATAAGCCCTTCGACATTTTACCTTGATTGTGCACTGAGAATGTTACACGGAGCCACCACGGAATAAAAACGGAGGGCTTTAATGCGTCATTAGGTAACCATGGAGTCTCTATAGCAACTATTTAAATTATATCAAAGACGAAGAAGACTACTTATAAAAACTATGGCTACAGAAAGAGACATTGCTCGCTTGTTAAATGAAGAAATAGGTCCTCGAGACAGTGACTACGTCTTCAGTTCTTGGGGACTACTTTTGTGATGAAACTAGTGGTAAGCTTATTCATAACACTGTTTACATACTAACTGTGAATAGCGGTTTGCTATCACAACAATGACATTCCATCACCTGTATAAATGCACAATATTATTATATTAAACTTAGTTATACAGTGTATTTGTTAATTGATAGAGACAGACTATGAAGCAGTAGAAGATATGGAAGAAGAAGAGGTAGAGGAAGGGAAAGAAGAAGAGAAAGAGACAAAAGATTGTGATGAAGATATTAATCCACCACTGTTTGATCCTGAGGTGGCTGTGGAGCTACAAGTATCAGATCTTGATTTAGAATCAGCGATGCCTGATGCTCCAGCTACTTCAACTACTCACTCTGGTGATGACATGAGAAAGGAAGACCTGCAGGAGGAAGAAGAATTATCAAAGTTCTTTGAACATGGATGTGGTTGCTCAGATAATTGCTATGCACTGTTCAGTCACTCTTACATAAAAACATATAGATGTGACATATAAGCCATGGCAAAGCCTGTTCAAGAAATTGCTATTATGAGTCAAATGGCAGCA